TTCAAGCAGAAGACAGCATACGATTTGTACTACGGAACGGCCACAAAGATTTTATCGACTTCCAAAACAAAAATATTGGATGCTGGAGTTGGATTGGCAGGCAAGGCGGTGGACAAAATTTGAACTTGCAGACTCCTAGTTGTACATATTATGTAGGAACCGCCATACATGAAATCAACCACGCCATCGGCTTTTGGCATGAACACACTAGAGAAGATCGAGATAATTACGTGAGCATTAATTGGAATAATATTCAACGAGGTGAGTAGTTATAACTATAAAGTTTAAATAAGAATTAACGTGTTTGGTTAAAATATAAACGTTTAATTAAAACATATTTTGTTTTGTCGTTTATTAATATCTGAAATACCTGAAATAGTACCAACTAATTTTGTAATTAATATTTTAAAATAGCAATATTTGCATCTTTGAAGTGACAATTTCCTTCTATCTGTCTTCTATCTGCATTTTGACCTTAGAGAATTTTAAACGATTTTCTTTTAACTTAAGAATTATAATGTCATAACATTAACAACGACTAATGTCTGAATGAGATTTTTCAACTAAGTAAAAGTTGTATTAATTTATTGAGATTATTCCGTAGATCTGCATTAGAAACTTCTATCTTTATCATGTATATTATATGTATTTAGACCAGCAGTATAATTTCAATAAGGCTCCCCAAAAACAGATTACTTATAATGTCCCTTACGATTACAAAAGCGTAATGCATTATTCAGAGTACGCGTTTGCCATAAATCCCAACGTAAAAACCATTATGCCAACGGTAAGTAATTCATTTTTATGTACGTCCTATATACCGTAAGACGGTTGATGATTCCTTTGTTAGAGTTTAATTTCTGGTCGGAGATAGATTCAAGCTATCAATTCATTGTTCTGAAATAGAAAAAAGCAATTGTTTGCATTCTATCGATATATGTATGTTTTAAGCATATATAATAATAATTTTTGTAGTGACATTGGAATAATTTTTGAAATGTTTTAGAATCCACCAGATGCAACAATTATCGGTGAGAGAAGTGGCCTTAGCAACGGAGACGTTCTAAAAATCAACAGAATGTACGAATGCTAATGTTTGAGCGTAATTGGCATTTATGTCAAAGATCAGAACTGACGACAAAATGGCTTTGATAATGGTCTTCTGTATTAAAAAATTTTAAATTAAATATATTTAATAAATATTTATGTGTAACAAAGGAATGAAGAATATTTAGCGCTGTGTATAAAACACATGACTAATTGTAAGTCTTTTTTTCTACGTTATTGGTAAACGCAATTAGTATTATCAATAAATATTAATCTTGATTAAATATTATAATATTATAAATGTACTTGTGCCTCTCGTGTACAAATGTACATATTGTAATAA